AACAGAGTCATTTAATAAATGATTATTCATCATAAAACAATTCAATTACTTCCAACATAAATTCCCGAAGATGTTCCGTGTCACTGCTGATCAGAAACGTTAGATATTTCTTGAAGAGTTGATTCCATAATTTAATGAGATATTTCAATTTGTTTGAAAGGAAATGGACAATTCAATATTTTGTTCGAAATCTCAATGTTGTTATTCAAGCTGTTCTATACCGGGTGATTCTCTAAAGTGGCTCACCCCTATTACTTTTTTATTATTGGAGATAGAAAACGAAATTTGAGGGGTTGTGTATTATACTCCAATTTACAGTTTTGATATATTTACTTGCTTTGCCGTACTTCCGGTTTGACCGGAAATGACCCTAACTTTTGAATTTTAATTGGGATATCCAATATATTTTTACTTATTTGGATTGAGATTGACATTCTGAATCCAACAATGCTTCACTTGTCAATATTTGAGAAATACAATCATTTTTATTCTAATTTTCATTATTTGATCTAGATTATCATAAATCATGTGAATCGCTTCATTCTTGATCAAGTAACATGGGAAAACTACGACTCAGAGGCTTATGACTTCACTTCAAGAATAATTTCACAGTCGCAAATATAAATTTTTCCAGTTTACTTGATTTTTTCAAATGGAAAGTGAGTGACACATCGGCTTTCTGTGGAAGATCATTTTATTACGATTAATTTGATGCCACACACTTTCACTTTATTTTTTCTATTTTTCTGAATAATTACAAGAAACGATCATACCTAACAACAAATAATACGTATTCGGTATACTTATTCTGTTATTCTAGTTAGCCGTGACAAACAATTGAAACTGTTGCTAGGNGTTTCGTTATCAGCAGCTCGAATGAATCTATTGATATCATTCTTTGATAAAACTTTAGATTCCTTTTCTCGGTATCTGACACTATTGTTCTTAATGAGCGGGACCAATTTTGAAAACTTCCTTATATCACTATTTTCCTCAACATTCAATGAACTGTTCTACATTGAATAACGTAGGAGGTTTTAATTTTTTTTTAAATAGCATATAAGGACATTTTTAGAAACCTTTTTGGCATGTTTCTTTTCGCACCATTCACGAAATTGGTCATATGTTTTCTCATATACTAACTTGGTTTTGACCGGTAACATATTAGATACTATTGCATTTGCTTTCTTAAATATATTTATTGGAGTATCACTACGACTATTATAATCAACATCCATCTTCTTGAAAATAACTTGAAATTGAAGCAACTAGGAGCAATCAGTGAAACAGTCAAACACGCGGCGTATCAACAACCGTTTTTATTAGTAACAACACTGAAAGACCACTGGATGCTGTGAAATTGTATTGGAAGTATTGATAACATTAAGGATAAAATGTGTGAAATATGAAAGTATAATCCAGTTATTTTGGATCTTTTCAGAAAAGGAAAATTTTTTAATACGATTTTATTGAACACATATTTTCTTGATATATTTCAGACAATGTAAATTTTCGTTCATAAAAAATACAAAAAATATTGTTTTTGTATTTTATGTATAAAATTTGTGTTTTCATGGCATATGCGTCACTGAAAACACTCATTTCACGCACTTAATACCAAAATATGATTTTTGGAACATCAGTATTTCAGGTTTTAAATAAGATATTCTTCAGGTTTGAGAATATAACACAGAAAAACCAAGAAAAATAAATCTCAAAAAGATTTTTTTAAAAATATCGTGAAAGAACATATTAATTTCGTGAAACCAAAAACACTGCCTATTTCAAGTATACAAACGTTGTATATTTTGATATTCATCCCACTTCATAGATATGAATCAATTTCATTTCATTTTTCATATCAATAACAGAATTTTTTTACCTCCTTTAATATTTTTTGCTGTTAATATTTTTTTTCCTCTCTTGCACTCTATAATAGATGTCATCAGAAATATTCGTGTATTGGTTGAAAAACAAAACTCATCTCTACACACAATGCATTGAATTTCGATTCCAATCATCAATTTGTATGATAATGTCAGATGTGTACATGCTAAAAACGTTTGAATTTATTTCAATACTCAAATTAAATAATTGGTTGATCAACAATGTGTGTGAAATATCCATTTGTTTTATCAAAATCAATACGAGTTTTGCAAATTCAATGAATATCATGTATAACCCCAACTATTTGGTAGTTAGAATGCTTCCATTCACCATATTAAGCTACCCAAATTCTTTTTGAAATTTATTTTTTATAATGAAACCCCAGAAACATATCGATTTTGTTGTTACTTCTACTTCTTTGTACTTCTGTTAATTCACTAAAGCAAATTGTGTATAACTCTTAGGCAACCTACTCTATCGAAAAATTTTAAGCAGCTCTTTGAAAAGTAGACGTGATACTAACCAGAAAATGTATTACTCTATAAACCTGAGATGTCCACCATTATTCGAAAAGAACAATTTTGAATAAAAATAGAAATAAAAAAATAGAAATGATATGTAAAATATGCATAAATAATTTTTATAATGCAAACACGACTTAGCAAAACTCATGGTGTAAATATCAACGGCAAGCCTCAAGAACAAACAGAAATGAAAAATCGGCTTAAAAAACTACTCGATATAACCCATTCTCTCTCAATACATTTTCGAAGTCTGCGAAGACACCCTCTCTGTACTTTATATAGCATTACAGGGTCGTTTTGTATGGCTTCACTATGTAATGTTATTCTATTCAATAAGGCATCTCTTATGTGAATAGGTGTAGTGTAAACAAGGTTTTTTGGATTGATTTGCAATATTCCATGGGTATTTTCTTCGGCTGTATGTGGAGATTATGAGAGTTGATAACTCCATCTCTACTGAAACCTGCTTTATCAGTGAATAAAACTCTCTTTGCTTATCCATGAACCAATTGGCATATTCCAGTCGTGCTGGAAAATCTTCAGGTGTCATGGCATGTACTTTTTTGATGTGATATAGGTTGAGCAGTTGTTCCCTAATTATTCTTTGAATACTGGACTTGGATGTATGCAACTGTTATGCTCATTGAAGGATCATCAGCGACAGCTTCCAGAATATTTTCCTTCAACGCACAGCCCTAGCCACGCACAGCCCTAGCCACGCACAGCCCTAGCCACGCACAGCCACCTCGTTTTGGCAAAACTGTACCTACAATAATATCGAAATAAAACAACATGCTCCAATTAATTATCTATTAGAAATACCTGTCTCCTTGCTGCTATCGACACGCTCGAACGTTTCTCTTGCCGGTACCGTTCGATTGGGAAAATACTTGGAATACAAACAGAGAGCTTCTGCAGCATTAGAAAATGCTCGTTCATGGAATGCATATTCGTTAAGTGTAAACTGTGCATACATTTCAACAACCTTCAAAATATTCTATGGAAGATTGACAACGCAACACTCAACAAAACACAATCGCATTCTAGTTTCTCATTTTTCATCGCAACTATTTTATTTCTTTCTGAATAGTTTGTTTGTCAAAATCTGTGGTTTTTGCATGATGGAACTCCCCCTCAATTAAGTTTGATTGTGCAGGATCATCTGAACCATACTTTCCACGATAGATGAATAGAATAAATATACATAGTGTAGCCATACGAAACAACCCTGCTATTTCCGCAGACTACGGAAATGTATTGAAAGAAAAGGGGGTCAAATCAAACAGACTTTGTAGCTGATTTATCATTTTTGTTTACTCTTGAGACTTACGATTGATATTTACACAATGAGTTTTATTGAGTTAACGTGTTTGCATTATCAAAATTCATTATGAACATTTTATCTTTCATTTCTATTCTCATTAAAAAATGATCTTTTCGAATAATGGTATACATCACAGGTTGGATATTGCTCGTTGCGCCTATCGATTTTTCACACGAGTACTTTCATTCAGAAAATTGTCTAAGTAACTTCATTTCGTTAGGAAATATTGAAAAATATCTGTTATTTCAAAGTGTTGGGATGTGGACCATCAGGAGTAGGTCGTTGCTGACTTTGTAACACAACAACTGACTACTCCTGCATAAAAGCTCATTGAAGCAATTCATTTGTTCAGTCAATCATCAAAATTCAAAGAAAAACATTTTTCATTTTGTAACTTCGAGGGTAACGAAAGATTATAAAAAACATTACATGAAATACTGATGATATTTTTTCCCATCTATACATTTCCGTGAGGAAAAGAGGAAGTATCACATTCGAAAGTTCTCGTGTGTTTATTCATGCTCATTTTAATCGTTTCGCCTTTATTTCTCGGAAGCAGTTCGATGCTCCTCTTGTGACATAAACCATTTTTTTTTCAGACGGGCTAAATCTNAGTAAGTTCTGTCATTTTGAATTTTCATTTCTTCCCACGTTATTTCAAAACTTATCAAAGAATGTTGAAAGAACTTAATATTTTCAACAAAATTCAACAACATTATTCAACATCACAGAGTATACTTCAACACTTCACTTTGATCACACTTCGTAGTCATCGAACTTATTTCACTGTCGCTTTTTTTGCTTTCGAACTAATCTGCGCTGTGATATAAACTGACTATAAATTCGAGAACCGTGTATACAGGGTGTCCCTGGACTTCCTCTTTTTCTCTCGGGGATGTATTCATGGGGTCGAAATATCACCAGTACCTACTTCATGTAACTTTTGTTTCTAAAATCCTTCGTCACCCTCAAATTTATGAAATGAAAAATGTTTTAGAGGAAAAGAGGAAGTATCACATTCGAAAGTTCTCGTGTGTTTATTCATGCTCATTTTAATCGTTTCGCCTTTATTTCTCGGAAGCAGTTCGATGCTCCTCTTGTGACATAAACCATTTTTTTTTCAGACGGGCTAAATCTTTTCAAAAGCAAGTGATTCAGTGAAAAGTTATGTGCATGCATCTACAAAATACGTTTTGTATGCAGTTAGTCTCTTCCGGTTAAAAGTAAATAAAAGCTCATCGTTGAACATGGTTTCTAACACTAACCTGGCATTTCGGATATTGCTCATCAGCGGTTCGTTCCACTTTCCAACCTAGTAGCGGAGGTATGCAAATAACCGCCGAAAGCAACCAAACAGCGGTGATCATCACTATGGCTCTAATTGGCGTTCGCTTCTTTAGATATTCCACTGCCTGCGTTATGCTCCAGTATCGATCTAAGGAAATTAGACACAAATTCATGATTGAAGCCGTACTCAGAAGAACATCCATGGCAGAGTGAACGTCGCACCTGAAAGAAAAAATACATGATCCGTCAGTTTTCAGTTTAAATTTTATTGGTTATAAAAAGGTTTTTTGTATTATTTCGGGATTGATATTATAACCAATGTTGTGAAAACGTAGCTATTTTGCATGATTCCATTTGAAACATAGTACCAAAAGGCATGTCAAATGCTTCGAGAAAACACATAATGATAATAATAATAATTATAATAATCATAATTATAATAATAACGATAATGAAGGAGGGATGGCCACTAACACCCTTGGCCTTTGGTGAGTTGCGCCACTCCTTATCCGAGCAACTAGTGCAAAACCGGACCGGCAGCCCAGGCGCACCCGCGAAGGAGAACACTATTCTCTTTCCGGTGTCGGCCGTGGGTTCACAGGGCTATCAACTTGGTAGACCCAATACTTGGTTCCTAGTAATCAAAAAAGGGGCCCTATCAATCGACCCGCTCGGTGGGGTCAGAGACAAGGTGGTGGGGCCCTGGCAATGACAACGGACGTTTTGAGTGGACGCATGAGCTAAACGATAGCCTGATGCATTGCTGCGAGAGTAGTGAGCCCGCGCAAAGAGGGTACATGGTGAGATTGAATGCTATGTGGTGTGAAACATATCCGGAGCATGCCGACTTTTTCGCCCAAAATCTTAAGGATTACGTATCCTATCTTCGGCGGCAGCCTGCTAACGAAGTGATAGAAGTGACAGTTCTACCACCCGTTGATACGGCTGGAGAGGAGACTCGCATCATGCCACCAATGGAGTCAATCAGAACACGCTAGGCGCTCAACATAATTAGGCCCCTGCAGCAACAAGAACTGGTTTGTTTGGATGCGGAGGTTCATAGTGTTCTAACAGAAGAGGCTGACATCTGGCAAATCAACACCGCCGTGTATAGCGTCGTCCAATCGCTTTCCGAATCAGAAGGACGAAATCCCCCAAAAACCGAAGGCACAAGATCACCAATTTGTTTTATAGGGATGATTTTGAACTTTATGCCTCTGGAGAGAAGGATCTCCATCGGTCCTTGAGGGTGGTGGAAGAGTACACGCATGCTATCGGTATGAAATTCAGAATAGACAAATGTGCAGTGGTCCATCTCAAAAGAGGACGATGCGGGGTTCACGGAAAGAATGTGTAGCTCGTAGATGGAAGCATCCTACACCATTTGGATGCCGGAGAGACGTGTACTTACCTCGGGGTGGAACAACGCCACTCACAAGAGGTAACAGCAGTGAAGAACTCTCTTCGCGGCAAATATCAGCACAAACTTCGGAGCTGTCGGGAAAGAACAAAGTTGTTAGAACAAATATGATTGCCGTTCCAATCTTACTCATTTGGAGTAGTGACGTAGAACTCGGGTGGAGCTGTATCAACTCGACGTAAAGACCCAAAAAATGATGCATCCCAAATTGTCCGTTCCACGGTTGTACTTTCCCCGACAACAGGGAGGCCGTGGACTTTTAAGTTTGGAGTGTCTGCATGACACACATGGTTCGTGCATGGTCCGTGACCAAGAGAGAGCAGGAATTGGAGCATTCCACTTTAGGGCAGCTGTTCGAGCAGGTGATGAACTCTTTATAGTTTTCGACACTAAACGAGGTGACCACAACTCTGTCACCGAGTTGGAACCCGTTCAGCAAAAAGCTCATATAAAAGCTGCAGAGATCACCTCACTTCTGCGGAAACACAAGGATAAGCCAATGCATGTGGTCTTCTTCAATAACATTGGAGACCTTGGCTCATCAAAGCGCCTGACTTTTGTTTTCCTCAGGTCGAGTGGGCTGAAGTCGGAAACTGAGGGGTTCATCATGACTTGCCAGGATGGTATCTTCAACACCTTAGTCTGCCGCAGTCGAGTGATGGGTATAGAGGTTCCTGACACATGGTGCAGGGCCTGCCGCGAGGTGCCCGAGATCCTTATGCACTTGCTATCAGCATGTCCAGCATATGCGGTCTCGGCCTATATCCATCGACATAACGCGGCCCTAAGAGTGCTATATTACCATCTACGGCACTCTTACGGTATTGACGAGACACCGGTGTTTCCCTACGCTCCGGGGGTTATTGAATCCGTTGTGGGGAACGAGAAGTGCCGAATTCATTGAAACTATTCGTTCCCCAGGCTATTTGTTCCCCAGGCTATTCGTTCCCCAGGCTCATACAAGCTCATGAGCCTGATGTAGTTCTTCTCGGCCACCAGAGCAAGACGATATTTGTCGTGGAGTTTCAGCTCCTGGCGAGACGAATATCGTCCGAAAAGAGGAGGAAAAACGGATAAAATATCAAGATTTTCTCTTCGAACTCCGCAGACTTTATCCAGACCACTCTGTAAAGACGGTTGTTCTGAATATTGGATTCCTTGGTGGAATGATGCCATCTCTACTCTCGAATCTTAAAATCATACCGGCCTGCCGCGCTAAGGCAGAAATCTTTGCCGGACAGATGCAGAAGGCTGTCATTCTTGGCTCACTGCACTTGCTCAGGGCACATTATTCTCGGGCCCAATGATCACTTACCCCACGGTGTGGGGAGTGGTCGTTGGTTGATAATGCTGGCGCGGCCTCCCGAATGTATCGGGGCTTCAGGGTATAGGGCCTGACCAGCGCATACTTCGATAATACTAATAACATCTTCATTCACTTAACGTAGGAACATACAGAATATACTAAAAAAATATTGAGATGAATGAGCGGAGTGTTGGCAAAGCTGTTTTCAAACTCAACCTTCGAAAAAAAATTGAATTTGAAATGCATGAGAGAAAATTACAGTACATACATCCATTTTCAAAAAATGATTATCATTCGGTCACCAAATCTTTTGCATGAACGAATGAGCCACGGTCAGCACGAGAAAAGTGAACTACTCAAATAAATGTTCTTTGAGTCTTTTTTAAGTTTTCAACGTATAGGATCTGAATTCACTGGGCAGGAGATTGTAGAATTTAGCTGCGTTGTATAAGAAGCGGTGAGTAGAAAGAGAGACTTGTGTTCAAGAATGACAGCACAGACCTGTTTCTGGTGGAGAAGCTGTTGATATTTGGGAAATGATTCAATTTTTGCAGCCAACCTGATTACTTCATGACCGGTGATATGTGGATGTATTTTCGAATGCCAAGAAAACCCAGGCAACTGTTTTGGATTCGTTGAGGATGGAGGGAATCAGACTGAAGTAACGCAGGGCCATGAATGCAATTGCAATATAAAACTTTCGAAATGATTAACGACTCACATAATTTTAATTTGAGTTGTTTGGTGAGTAAGTCCCGATTTGGAAACAATTACTTTAAGATATATGAAGCTGCAAATTTGGTCCTTCATGATCATCTCAACAACTTTCGAAAGACAAGGTAGGATGGTGATAGGCTTCAGCTCAGAGAAATCCGAAGGGGAGTTGCACTCAGCTAAAGAAATAATCACAACGTTCTTCCAACAACTTGGGAAACACTCTTAATTAAAATGGCATTAGCGAGAAAGATTAACGGATCCAATAGATGATTACCTATCTAAGAGATGGATCATTAGGAATGAGATATTGTCTGAGCCGACTGCGTTACTGTTGAGACGATTCAGGCAATTCTGTATAACTGCAGAAGAGGCCGCACTGAAATAAAAAAGTTTATCAATTACTGGAAGAGAACGGTATCGTTCTAATAATGAAATTTGATAGTTTGAACGCTTAGGTTGAGGAGTTGATCTGAAGTTTATGTTAACGAGTCATTCAATTCATTCGGGATTTCTCTGTTGTTACTTTTTCTCTGGTGATCGCAATGTATTCCAAGTTGCTCTAGAATTTTTTTTCGCAGGAAGAAAATCCAGGTATGCTCTTTTCTCACGACGAATAGCTCCTGTTGTGTAATTCCTAAGATCTTTATAATTATTCCAAGCAGTAGGAGAATGAGTTTGCAGAGACCGTGCCTGAAGGCACGATCTCTGACAGCAATAATTTCCTTGATAGTATAAGTAAGCCAAGGGACTGGTGGCTCAATAACTTTTTGGTAAGGATGGGGTTGTGTCTGTCAAATAATTGGATAATATTTTTGTACAGAAGCATATCCATTAAAATCATCAAGCTGATATCATTACGCTAGAGTTCGCGATTGAAGCTGGCAAAATCACAATAGGAAATAAATTTGACTTTCAAAGTTGATTGTATAGTGGTGATTTTGCCACATGATCGGATATTCCACCTACTTTAGAGATTTCAATACACGACATTTCATCTTTGTCTCAAACAAGGATGATACCTTTAAATGTTTCGGAATTAGAAGTTATGAGATTAGGCACCTCAATAATTTGATAAAGACTGAAAGAATTGAATGAATCCAGTAGGAGGTCATTTGTTAGTATATCTACAATGGGATCATTTGCTGGAAGAAAAAAATCGGAGGAAAGCAATGCAATGAAATCAATATAATTTACAAGTGGGAAAATAATATAAAGTAACCGATACAAGTGTTATTTATTTTTTCCTACACTAGAAGCACAATAATGAATAATCATCTAGTATTATTCTACAACCTTTTAATTGAAAAACACTACAGAATTGGCCACGGAAATATTATGGTAAAAATTAGTATTGATATTGAGGCAAATTTCTGCCAAACGGACTCGCTTGCGTTTGGTTTCGTTTTCAGAAACTACGTTTTTTTTCATAATCTTATCTTTTGAGTGAAAACGAAAAAAAACCAAGATACTGGATATGATTATTGTAAAGGAGACGAATAGATTATGAAACGAATAAAATTATGGCTGATTTGTTTGATGATGACATAGGAATAAATGGAGGAATGAGATCATCGAGATTTATGCCCACCACACCACCCAACACCTTGAATACAGTCACGCGTTAAAACAAAATAGTGAACTGAATAGTTGCTTATTGTTGTCACTTGTCGTTGTTTTCACATAGCAAACCCTACAAGAACTCAGACAAAACAACGATAACTTTTCATTTTTCCGCCTGCCGACGGAACATTTCGTTGTTAACAAAAACAATCGTCCGCG